CCAACAACTGTAAATCAATTTTCATCATCTCAGCATTCCCGTTTTCATTTTCTTCTAATATCATTTTCCTTCTCCAGGTTGGCTCTCCGACTTCAACCGGCAACATAGCATCAAAACCATACGTCATCTTAAATGGTGTTTCTTGAATGATGGACTGCACGGAGGTCCTATATCCCCACAACACATTATCCAACTCTTCCACCCAACTTCCTTTACACCCTTCCACCCTCCTTTTCAGCCCATTCGTCAAGATTTTGTTAGCTGACTCTACTTGCCCATTCGTTTGGGGATGTTCTACTGCAGCAAACTTGTGCCTTATCCCCAAGTCGGCTACCATCTGTCTGAACTTCTTGTCTATAATATGTGTCCCATTATCAGTGATAATTATGGCCGGAATACCAAATCTACAAACTATCTTTCCAATGAAAAACTTCTGGACCTTCCGAGCAGTAATAGTTGCTACCGGTTCCGCTTCAATCCACTTAGTGAAATAATCTGCGGCCACTATCAGATATCTAACTGCTCCAGCTGCCCTAGGAAAGGGACCTAGAAGATCTAAGCTCCACTTATAGAATGGCCAAGGTGACGAAATGGTAAATAACTCTTCGGGAGGAGCTTGATACACATTAGCAAACTTCTGGCATTGATCACACTTCTGAACATGTCTTTTAGCGTCTTCTCCCATCGTTGGCCAAAAATATCCTGCTCGTATAACTTTCCTTACCACCCACCAAGGTGGTGCCCGTTAATTCCTTCATGTATCTCTTCTAACACATATTCTGTGTTCGACGCAACAATACATTTCAGCAAAGGTGAATTTACTCCCCGTCTGTATAACTGCCCTTCTATCATCACAAACCATGCTGCTCGTCTTCTCAAACGACTTGCCTTCATCTTTTCGTTTGGTTCTTTACCATTCGCCAAATAATCCTTAATTGGGCTCCTCTAATCTACCTCTTCTACCATCCATACTACACTCGGAGCCCGAATGCTCTGCTGAATAATAGTCCTCGAACTTCCAGTGGCTTTAGTACTGGCCAACTTGGATAAGACGTCTGCTCGTACATTATCACTTCTCCGAATATGGTCTACGCGGATCTCCTTAAATTCTCTCATCAATTCTTGTACTTTTGCTAAGTACTTAATCATAACTTCCCCTCTTGCTTGGTACACCCTGCTTATTTGTGAAGTCGCCAACTGAGAATCACTATACACTGTCAAACACTCCGCTCCGAGCTCTTTTGCCAAAATCAACCCAGCAATCAGTGCTTCATACTCGACTTGATTATTACTTGTGGGGAATGCTAGCGACAAGGAATGCTCTACTGCCACCCCCTCTGAATTCTCGACTATAACTCCAACCCCACTACCTATTTTATTGGATGATCCGTCTACAAACAACTTCCACCAATTATTTTCTTCGGTACCTCCATGATGCGTCATTTCTACCAGAAAATCAGCTAATGCTTGTGCTTTAATTGCTTTACATGCTTCAAAGGTAATACCAAACTCAGATAACTCTACTGCCCATGCCACCATTCGACCTGCTAAATCCGGCTTATGTAACATCTGCTTTATTGGCTGGTTCGTTCTGACTACTATTTGATGGCACTGAAAATACTGACGAAGCCGCCGTGCTGAAATTAGTAATGTAAAAGCCACTTTCTCTACATACTGATACCTCACTTCTGCTCCTTGCAACACTTTGCTGATGAAGTACACGGGCTGCTGTTGCCCACTCTTTCCTTCTCGGACAAGCACCGAACTTACTACTTCTTGGGAAACGGACAGATACAAATATAAAGGCTCCCCTGGTTCCGGCTTACTAAGAATTGGTGGTGAAGCTAAGATGTTTTTGAAATGCTGAAAAGCAACTTCACACTCCTCAGTCCATGTAAATTCAGATCCTTTTTTTAAGAGTTGAAAAAGTGGTAAAGACACTTGCGCAGATTTAGCCAAAAACCTTGACAGAGCTGTCACTCGCCCATTTAACTTCTGAACTTCTTGAACATTCTCTGGGCTCTTCATTTCCATCACCGCTCTACATTTATCCGGGTTAGCTTCTATTCCCCTTTCTGTCAACAAGAAACCCAAAAACTTTCCTGCCGGAACTCCGAAAGCACACTTACTCGGATTTAAACGCATATTGTGCTTCCGAACTTGCTCAAAAACCTCTTGCAAATTTGCTAAATGCATCTTACCATCTTTCGACTTAATCATGTCATCCATGTACACCTCTAACATTCTTCCAATCTGCTCCTTAAACACTTTATTCATCATCCTCATATAAGTTGTCCCTGCGTTCTTGAGCCCAAACGACATGACATTGTAACAATACACTGCATTTTCTGTTACGAATGCTGTCTTCTCCTGGTCTTATTTCCATAATGGTATCTGATTGTACCCGGAATATGCATCCATGAATGACAACACTTTATATCCTGACGCCTTATCCACCAGATGATCGATACTGGGTAAAGGAAATGGGTCTTTAGGACAAACTTTATTCAAATCCGTGTAATCTGTACACATCCTCCATCTCCCATCCGACTTCTTAATCAACACGGGGTTGGCTAACCATGTGGCATACTCTATTTCTCTAATGAAACCTGCTTCTAACAACTCTTTGGTTTTTTCCTCAATCGCCTTCCTCCTTTCAGCACAGAATCTCCTCTTCTTCTGGGCTACGGGCTTCGCTCCAGGAATTATTGCCAAACGATGACAAGATAAAGCAGGGTCCATCCCGATCATATCAGAAGGTTTCCATGCGAAAAGATCAGCATTCTTTTGTAATAACTCTTTCATGCTAGCCCTCACATCAGATTCTAACTCGGAACCCATTTTAGTAACCTGCTCCTAACTGAACCTCTTCGATCGTCCCCACGGGTTCTAGTCTCTCCACTTTATTTTCTACCCGGGGATCCATCCCGATTACCATTACTTGCTCCTCTTTCTTTTCGTCTACTTCCCTTTGTGCTTCTCTCTTCTCTTTTGCCTCATCTCCTATCATTACTCGCTCCTTCTTACTTTCCTGTGGCATCCTCAAACTCATGTTATAACAGCTTCTTGCTATTACCTGATCCGCCTTTATCGTTGCCACCTTGTCATCTTTAGCTACAAATTTCATTGCCAATTGATCAATTGACAAAAAGATCTTGAATTTCTTCATGAATGGTCTGCCCAATATAATATTATACGCGGAACCCAGATCCACTACCGCAAACGACAAAGTAACTGTCTTGTGTGTAGGCGCGGTCCCCAACGTTAACTTCAATGGAATGTATCCCAAAGGTTTAATCTTGTCTCCTGTAAATGCTAACAAAACGGCTCCACACGACTCCAACTGATCATAACCTAAATCCATTCTTCTGAAAGCATCCCAAAATATAATATCCACTGAACTCCCTGGATCTACCAACATTCTATCAACTTGATAGTTTGCGAACAATCCTGAAATCACTAAGGGATCATCATGCTCCGGGTCTAGTATCTCATCGTCTAAATCCTCAAACACTACCTGCTTTCCCGTCTTTTTTCGCTCTTCTTTAAAACGCGGTTTCTCTGAAATGGCCATACACATCTTTAAGTGCTTTTTCCGAGCATTCCCAGATTCTCCTCCTCCTACTCGCCCTCCAGCTATAGTGCAAATATGCCCCATCGGAACTCGACCCAGAGACGATTAATTTTCTGCTCTTTGATTTCTGTTAGCCTCCCTATTCCTTCCCCCGGGCGGGCTGCGACTGCGGTCTAGTCGCCAGATCTTATCTTCCTTACACCCATCTCCTTCTCCTCTTCTTACATATTTTTGTAGTTTCCCTTTTTGAATTAACCTTTCAATAACATTCTGCAAGTTAAAACAATCATTCGAATCATGCGTAAGATTAGCTTTACCTTTCCCACAGACGGCGCCAAATGTTCTGGACGAACATTAGTAGGGATTAGTTCTAATTGTCTATCTCCCTTGGGATGTTAACCCCTATATTTATACTCCTAGTTAGCGTAGTTGCACTGGACGTGGAGAGAAGGTGGTTACCTTGGATGTTGATGAGTAGTTATCTGGGACGCGCCATCGTGGTAAGTCCCACCTTCTAGATTAATAAATGAGACAACTGTCCCATAACCCGAGTACCTTTGTCCCGGGTTCTTCCAATCCGTATCTGAGTAACTAACCCGGAACAATTATTATTATTATTTAAACATCATGATTCGTCGGGAGATTTTAGTGTAAATGTATTTATTGCAAAATTTCTCATTTGCAGCAAACCTCAAAATATAAGAGGAATACTTTATTTTTCTAAAATATATTTTTTTATTCTTTTATATTTTTAAATTAAAATTTTGAAAAATAATGTGGTTTTTTTTGCATTTTTTTTCAAAATTTTAATTTAAAAAAAATAAAAGAATAAATTTACATAATTACTCTCTTAAAAAGGAAACTATTATATTATTTTAACAAATTTGAAATTTTCCCTGTAAATTCACAAGTTTATAAAGAAAAATTATACAAGAGATTCAGGGGAGTAAGGAATCAAACGTGGCTAAATTGAACAGAATAAAAAAAAATGAAAATATAATGTTAAAAATTCACATAATTTTATCACATGAAAAAAATTGTGTCTATTATTCTTAATTATAAAGATTACATAGAAAAGATGTTATTAAAATTCATAAAATAAGGTTTGCTTTTTTTACAGGCAATATAGATAACTTATCTACGTTGTTTTGAGACGGAAATCAAGATATTTTGTAATTATAATTTATTTCAAGATTATAATAGTCCTTTGCACTATATTTTTTAATTTTTTAACTTAAAACAACATCGTTTTAACAGCAAATGTATACACTTTAAAAACATTAAAGCCCATAAAATATTGATAAAAGGAGATAACTGTGAAAATTGAAATTGTAAAATTAGCGATATTCCCAAAGAGGCGTAAGGAAGCTTCTTTGATATATAAATAAGATCCCTTAAATCTCCCTCTCGCTCCTCTCTTTCTCTCTCTTCTCTCTGTGTCTCTAAAACCCCAAAGAACACGGAGTTGGCGGCGACCTTTTCTTCACTTCAACCTTTTCTCTCTCAATTGGATCATATTCATGGCTGCTCTTGCTCCGTCTTCTGACAGTAGTAAGTATACTTCTTCTTCTTCTCTCTCTCTCTCTCTATATATATATATATATATATTATATATATATATATATATATCGTTCTCTTTTTTCTTTTTTAAATTTTGTTTTCAATACACACACATATTTCTGCGTTGCCCATTTCGTAAAGTTTCAATCTTTTGTCTTCAATTCTCTATGGCATGCTTGTACATGTAGGTGCCCCATGTGGGTTTTTTTTGCCTTCATCAGATTGCACGTGTGTGTGTCTATGTTTTATTCATTTGATAAGGGTTTCTATGCTTTCTGTCCATAATCACAATATGTTCGTTGATTTTAAGATGTGTTAGCTCATAACACTGACCTGGTTGTTAATTACTCAAAAGTCAACCCCCTCCCTTGTTTTTTTTTGTTTGTGGCCAATTGTTGTCTATACATAGTTTCTCTTAGTGAATTTTTTTGTAAAGTATAATTATGTTTAGTTGCTGAAATTTCTTTGTTTTGGTTTTCTTTTTCTGTTTATTATAACTGTGTTTTTTTGTTTGTTTATTTGTTTTTTGTTTTGCTAGTGAAATTGTTCTGATATAAGTAAATGGTTTTCCTTTACTATTGTAGAAGCTGCAGATTTGCTGCAGAATTTGTCCCTGGATTCGGAGCCCAAGAACGTTGGAGTTCCTGAGCCTGCAAAGAAGGTACGTCTTGTCTTTTTGTTACATAAGTTTTATTGTTTGTGAGTAAAGTATATACAGCACTAGAGAGTTCGGCGTTGTAATATGTTAATTGATTCTTGTGATCTATTTGTGTGCAGAACGGACCTGTTTTTTCCAATGGTACAGCTAAGGGGATGGCCAAGCCATTCAATCCAAATCCAAGCTTCATTCAAAATGGATACCCTTCTACTACATACTATTATGGAGGTAAGGTAAGCTGATATGGCTTTTGAGGATAGATAAAATGATAGATTACCCAAAATAAATGTGGAGATTTTTGGTTGAATATTTAAATGGTTTATATTATTCCTTCTGGGAAAATGACATGGTGTTGGGAGTTTTTTTCAGGTTATGATGGTGGACAAGGTGATTGGAATATTTATTCCAGATATATGAACCTTGATGGAGGGATGGCTCAAGTAAGTAACTTTTTCTGTGGTTACCAGACTTGTGATGATCATACGTCTTTTTATACTGTCATTTGTTGTATGGTTTTAAGAACAATTCTGCCTAAGGTCCATCGGATGGGGGCTAATTTATGTTATATGTTAGGTTTAAAAAATAAACGATGGTGGACGGGGGCTGACTTTTGAAATTGTTTATTATTATTTTGTGAGAGCTCTAAACTGTGTCATCCATTTAAGTTATAAATTTGTGTTTATTATGGCTGTTTGAATTTTAAATGATTGTCATTGTTTGCAATTGCTGCTCTTCATCTCTGATTTCAGAATTGGTAGTGAATCTAATTGAAGTTTGATAAACCTATAATCATGTCCTTCTTTTGCCATTTTTCTTAAAAGTATCATCTCTTGTCTCTTCCCCCCCTTCTCTTTCACCCTCTAGCCTTTTAGGTTGTGATTTGTTTCTTATCATATTTGTATGATAAAATATAGAATTTTTTTTACAGAAAATGTGAAAGCCTTTAACAATCTCACAAGGGTTTGTTTGTTGGATCTAATAACAGGGTGTTTATGGGGATAACTGCTCTTATATGTACCATCAAGGTTATGGTTATACACCATATGGAGCTTATGCACCACCAAATTCCTCCTCTCCAATCATTCAACATGATGGTCAGCTCTATGGGATGCAACAGTACCAGTACCCTTGTTCTTATTATAAATCTCCAGCTTCTGCTGATGCGGCATTTGCTCCAAACAAAATCTGTGTTCCACAAGGGGGAATTTCAACTGCAATTAATGCTGATAATGCCCCTCCATCAAATGTTATGAATAAAGGAAACACATTTAGCATGGCCAATGGTGATTATACAAATAAAAATGGATTAAATGCATTTTTAACTAGTTCCCAACACACATCTTTGCATGCAAATGATTCTTATCAAGGGTCTAGCTTGCCAGTGGCTGTTCCTTTGTCAGGATATCAGGGTCCAAGAATGAGTACTCATGGTACACAGTCGGCATTTCCTTCAGATGTGTCATCAATTTCTGATAGGCAGTCCAAACATGCAGCAAAGGTTGGATTATCTTCACCAGTGCCTGTGAAAGATTTCACATCTCAAAGGAACCAAAGACTTCCTCAGCCACTTCCACAATTCACAGTATGTTTGATTGGCCATCCCTTTCCCGAATGCAATTTTTATTGTAGTTTCTTAATTGAAAATGTAGAAATTGTTTTATGTTCATCCAACCAAATTTCCATTTATATAATTTTTGTCATATCTGATTATTGGTATCAGTATTGATGTTGTGATACACGTTTCAATCATTCCTGATCTGACCACATTATCATAATCCGCCACATATGTTGCATGTCCAGCAGTAGATAGTACTCTCTCTCTCTGTTCAATATTGTGGCTTCTACATGTAGAATCAATTCAAAAATGAACTTAAATATGATTTCTTGGTTGCAGAACTTGCCTGGTTCAAGCCATCCATCTGGTCTGGAACTGGTTTCTGGATTCATGAACAGGATGTATCCAAGCAACAGGATGAACAACCAATATGGAAACACATTTCGAGGTAGTTCTCGTTTTGGATCTGCTGCATATGGATCTAGAACAGCCTATGTGGATAACAAGTTTAAGGCTACGGGTGATGACTGTGGTGCTAACCATTTAAGAAGAAATATGGATGGTTTCAGTGAGCTAAATAAGGGACCCAGAGCTGCCAAGAGTTCTGATAACAGAAACATCAAAAGTCTTGGACCTGTCACATTATTACTCAAAGGACAGAACCTTCCAGTGAAAAGTGATAACATAGAAGTGCCTCTGATTCCCAATAAGGAACAGTACAATGGGGAAGACTTTTCTGAGAATTATTCTGATGCAAAATTTTTTGTCATCAAATCCTATAGTGAGGATGATATTCATAAAAGCATAAAATATAGTGTTTGGGCAAGCACCCCTAATGGAAACAAAAAACTGGATGCGGCATATCAGGAAGCCAAGGAGAAGCCCGGTGGCTGTCCCATGTTTTTGTTATTTTCGGTGAGCATCATATGCAGCATTTAGTTTGTAAATTCCTATATTTTCTTGGTTTCATTGAATTTGTTACCCCTAATTCAATATTTGGTACAGGTCAACACTAGTGGGCAATTTGTTGGTTTAGCAGAGATGGTTGGTCCTGTTGATTTTGGTAAGACTGTGGAATATTGGCAGCAGGACAGGTGGACTGGTTGCTTTTCTGTGAAGTGGCATGTCATAAAGGATATCCCAAATAGTGTGTTGAGGCACATAACACTAGAAAACAATGAAAACAAACCTGTAACAAATAGTAGGGATACTCAGGAGGTATTTGCCCAATGGCTTGTTTCATTGTAGCCCATGAACCTCACTCCCTTTCATCTAGATGCTTATACATGTCCTTCTGCAGGTTAAGTTTGAGAAGGGTATTCAAGTTGTCAAAATTTTCAAGGAGCATTCAAGCAAAACATGCATCTTGGATGATTTTGGGTTTTATGAGGCTCGTGAAAAGGGGTCTCAGGAAAAAAAATCTAAGGAACAGCAATTCCCAAAACAGGTAATACATGCCTTTACATCAGGTAGAACAACTCCCACGTTTGACATGTTACTGTAAATTTTTCAGTGCTGTCTTTTATTAATTTTGAGTAGTGGTAAAGTTATTCCTCTGTGACTGAAAGATTACGTGTTCGAATTTGGACAACGGTCTCTTTGCAATTATGTAAGGGTAAGACTATGTACAATGATAGCCCTCACCTCTACCCTCGCTAGTTGGGATTTAATGGGGAGTGGTTTGTCTTTTATTAATTTTCACCTTGTTAATGTCATCGAAATTGAGGATCATGCCATCTTGATGGCTTGAACTTGCTGTTAATCCTTTTAAATCCTTTGTTCAATACAGGTCAGCAAGCCCAGTGATTTAACAATTGGGACAGTTATATTACCCAAGTCTCTTGATGCAACCATGATTAATGAATCAGGTACTGTAGAAGCAGCTGAAATAAGGGTGAATGCGGAGGAGCTGTTAGAAGTGAATGGATCGACCGCAGCACTTGAAGACTCTTCCAAGAGCTGTTAAACCAGTTGTTTTGCTTTGTTTTTGTTTTCCGCCCTATTCCTTTAGTCATGGAGTGAGTTGTGTTTTGAGTTTCAAATTATCCCTACTTATTGGAGATCTTGGTATGTAGTGGAGTATATCATTTTAGCTTTTTCTTGTCTCGTTTAATAAAATGTGACTGCTTTAGTCATCAATTTCATAGTGGGTTAAAGGAGTTTTGTACCAATAATTATATTTTGCATTGGTATAGTAATTAAGACTTTTTAACCGATTTATAAGAAAGAAAAAATAATTAAATAAATATAAAATAGACTAAAAAGGGCATTTAGAATATAGGAAAAAATTTACTCGTGGATAGTTTTTCTTACACTTTGTCTTAAGATGGTTTGGTTGATGAGTTTTTAAACTGAATACATACATAACACAAATTTAAAAATAGATTAAAACTTTCAACATAAATGATTTGTTTATTTTGCGAATGGCATGACAACACAAATAACACGTAATCTCAAAATGTTTCGTTTTGTGGGTTGATATGCAAAACAAGGGACATTTGATCATAGTGCTCTTTTTTGAATATAATATATCTGAATATCACGGAATTGATTTTTTTTTTTCTAACCTGTCACGTCACTATAGTCGCTGAGATAGTAAGCTATTATGGATGTGACACGTGTCATTTTTCCAGAGGCTAGAAGACCTGGTTGTACCAAAGTAGCAGACTACCTCAGCGACTTTGGGTTGAATGAGTTGCGTGTCCAGCCACTGAGGACGTGACATGTGTCCAGTCCATAGTAGCTGACTACCTCAGCGACTATGGTGCTGTGGCTGTTTAGAAATTTTTTTTGACTCCGTGACATTTAGGTATGTTATATTCAAAGAGGGCAGTACGATTAATGTCTCACAAAATGATATGATTTTTGTGTGTTAGTTTTGTCGATACAAACTTCAACTTTAAACGGGTAACGGGTTGACTCAAAATATAAATTTTTTGTGTGTGCTCATATTGTGTAAGTGAATTATATATAGAGATAGGATCTTTTGACATCTCATCTGAGAGTCGTTAGATAAAAAAAAAATTAATGGTGTCACATGCTTACAAATCAGAGTCATTGATCTTTTTTTATCTAACGTCTCTCAGATGAAGTGTCAAACTTCAAATTTGATGCTGGTGTCAAAGGATCCTACCATTTATATATATATATATATATATATATATATATATATATATGGGCTTTAAAATTTCAGCAAAGAAAATCAAAATAGAAAAAAAAGAAGAAGCCAAAAAGGATAACGTGAAATTTGTGGCCTTGCTGAGTTGCACTCCTTTATCTTTTAGAAATTATTGGATTGACCCATTCAAGAGAAAGGCTGGAGTTCAAAGTGTATTTGGGCTTCCACAATCAAACACTTGAGAACATGAAATTCCCATTTAGAGGAAGCAAAAGCCAACAAAAAGTGCACTTTTATCCGAAATAGAAACCAAGCACACAATTGTGTGCAGGTAAGAGTGAGCCTTAGCAATAATAGCAATAGCATGTTAGTCACTAGTCTGTGTGGAAGCTGTTAAAGGAGCTTATTTCTTGTTCTCCATGGCTTCTTTTCTTTCCTTATCTCTTCCCAAGTTAAACTTAATAAAGGCCTCTTCAGCTGCTAATACCTCTACAACCACTCTTTCCACTCCTGAGTTACTCAATGAGAAATTTGGTAGAAAAGGCATCAAGTTCTTGGAGTCTGATAACATCCCCATTGTTGAGCTAACAGTCAGAAATGGAAGCTCCTTAAGTCTAAGAATACCTGATGCTCATGTAACATCTTACAAACCAAAAGTCCACTGGAAAGATAATGGCTTTGAGGAGGTTCTTTACACAGTTCCTGCTGTTGAAACAGGTCTTTACAAAGCCAAAGGTGGGGTTGGTTTGGTCTTAAATGAAGTACTTCAACCTGGAGCCAAAGAGTTACTCCCTTCCACTTTAGAGTGGACTGTAAATGATGTTGATTCTGATGCTATAGATGCTCTTCAGGTACCCTTTTGCTTGGAAGTGCCATGTGCTTCTGAATTATCACTTACCTTTATCATTTAGCACAAGCAAAAATAATTAGTCTTTTTTGTTTTTTGGCTAAAAGTGTGACTGTGAAATACTGAAACTTGGTTTTTTGTTTTTGTTGCTTCTATTCTCTTTTATGCAGGTTGAATTGAGCTGTACTAGTAGATTTTTTGACATCACTTATGTTGTGACCCTCTATCCTGTGAGCATGGCCACAGCAGTTATAGTTAAGAACAAAAGCCCCAAGCCTGTCACTCTAACCAATGCTATACTAAGCCATTTTAGATTTAAGAGACGAGGAGGAACAGCAATTCAAGGTCTCCGAAACTGCTCATACTGCTTACACCCTCCTCTTTCTTCTCCTTTTCAAATCTTGACTCCAGCAGAAGCTATGAAATCTGAGCCACCTAGATGGCTTTCCTTTGGTGCTGAGCCTGAAGGGAAGTCAGGCACGTGGACTCAGCAAGGCTTGTCTATTACCCTTCTTGAGAATAAGATGAGTAGAGTTTATGCTGCACCTCCTAAAGAAAGATCAAAGGCTTTTTATAACACTGCACCTTCCAAGTATGAAACCATTGATCAGGTTAGAATGGTTTACATCGTGGAACTCTAACCAAACATTTGAATTTTTCATGCACCAAATTTAGTTAAGGCTTTTATATAACAGTTACAACTTGGTGTTGTTGCCACGTGACACCGAGGTCACTAGTTGGAATCATGTTATCATTCTTTTCCAAATGTTGTGTAGACAGCTTATTATAGGCCTACACAAAGGGTTTGACCCTTCCCGGGATAATACTTTCTGTACTCGCGTAGTACTGAACTAAGACTCGGTGCATCAGTTACTAACTAAATATGAAAAAATAATAATTCATTTAGTTATATTTATTCTACTCATTCCTTTATGATTAATGCAAGTTCACTTTTTCCTACTTTTAATAGAGAAGTACCTATTTTCTCCGTGGACCCTATGTAGCCGGAACTTTTTTTTGGATACAAGTGAAAATTGAACACATGACCTAATACAACTTATATAAATCTCTCACCATTACACCAATCATAGTGGCTTCTATGTAGTAGGACTTTATAGACCAATTTTTCTTATATATATAAGAGTTCTTGTTTTTTTTTCAGGGACGTGAGCTTTTCTTTAGGGTGATAAGAATGGGTTTTGAGGATATTTATGTATGCAGCCCTGGTTCCTTGTCAGAGAAATTTGGAAAGGACTACTTTATCTGCACTGGCCCTGCTTCAATACTGGTGCCTGTGACTGTGAATCCTGGTGAAGAATGGAAAGGGGCACAAGTTATTGAGCATGATAATCTTACTTAGCAATCACATCAACAAATATTAGTTGACATGATATCTAAACCCTTATCCTTCACTCTTTCTCTCTTCCCTCCTGCTTCTCCTCCATTTTGAGTTATAGTTTTTTTGTTAATGGAGCAGGATTTGCATTTTCTTCCCCAAAACTATATATGTATATTTTGTTTAATTGATTTGTGTCCAATAGTTTAATACTATCAATAAAAGAGATTACGTAATGCTTGCAGATTTTCCATTTCAATGGATCCCTTAAAATGCACTTTGGTGCCTAAGTGATGAAAACTACTTCTCATACTGTCTGTTACATTTATGCTTTACATGAGATAAAACCAGTTATAGAGAAAGAAGAACACGATTGGAGATGGCATCTTTTTTGGTTTTTGTCAATCTACATTACAATGCTTCCAACTAATAATAACACATTCATCCACCTCCCTCAGCTATAGTTTAAAACCAATGCCATTAAAATCCTTTTTATGTCTTTTTTTTTCTTTGCTTTACGGTTTAAACAAAGATTAAGCTCTTAACATAATGGACTACCCTAAAATATATGTAAACATACATGTAAAATTCAATCATAATCTCATTGTTTTGTTCACTTGCAACTCAGATTTCTAACGCCCAAATCTTGTAGGATAGTAGCATTTAACGTTGGAATCTTTACTAGGGAAAATTCTTCTATACATTGTGTCTCTAATCTTCAATTTTCAAATTGTTGCTGGTGAAGTTTCATGTTGTCCAACTAATTTGGTTCTGCAAGATGCTGATTATTAAAGGCAATGCTGAGCAATCCATCGAATTGCATTTAGCTCTCTGCAAGACATATAAAATTGTTCTGTACCCTCTGCTAGACAGCTCTCACTTTGATATGATATGATATTCTCAATGATCATAACAGTCTCTATGGACAAATAGTTGCCCTTACAACTTTATTCTTCATAATCAAATAAAATAATTTTGTGTGTGACGTAAAATAAGTTTATGCATTATTCATTGCTTCGAATTTTGAAGAGAACTTGTGGGGTTTGACACGCCACTAGACTCGGGATTAATCTCATATTTGTGTGAAAAAAATACCTGGAAACTGACTCGTCCAAAAAAAATATTTAGGATCATAGAATAAAACAAAAAAAAAAAGTTTAAAGAATTTATTGGATTGAGTAAATGTGTTTTTGAAAAGAAAAGCACAACGAAATGGTCTGTGTTGAGAAAGCCACCTCAATATGGGTCCTTCTTCGAACTAAATTAAACCAGTTTGGATTGAAAAGTAAAAAAAAATAAAAAAAAGTATTTAACCACCGGCTTAACGTTTAAGACAAATGGTCTTTGAGATACAGAGAAGACAACTTGAAAATGTCAATATTATTTTCCACTATACCAAAAGGCTATCTCATGCATTCTACAGTTGCTAGAGATAATTCTTTCTTCATATTGGATATAAAATAATTTACTGACATCTAGTCTCCACATATGCATCATCAGTCTTAAATTTGACTGAACTCGAAGAAATAATTCATTCAAATTCAGTATTCATCTTTCCACCTGACCAGAAAGTAAAATTCAGTGAAAAGTCACATTCTTTACAGGAAAACAAAAGCACATTGAAGATGCTCAATGGAACAGAACAGCTATACTGAATTTTCCAACATTGTTGGAATTAACAACTACTACAAAAGCATACCTAAGATGCCCTTAATTCTCAGGATGTACATTAGAATGAGGATGTCAAGTTGGGACAAGACAATGGGATTCATCCTGACTATTGATCCATAGTAAAGGTGTGGCCATTGCAAGAAGAACGAATGAAAGACCACAAATCAATTTAAATTTAGTCTTTTGAAGTGCCTTTTCCGTGCGAAATGATTGTGTACCATCTCTATTTTCAGGAACCACATTGTTAGTTATCTGCATATCAGCATCTCCAGGAAAGTCATCTGTTGATGATACTGATTCTGAGCCACCTTGTAACTCCCCATCAGCACATAAGCTCTCATTCATTTTGCAATCATACTTGACATGGTCTGAGAAACCGTTCAGGTTATTGTTAGATGTTGGGCTCCACTCACACTCAAGATTGCCTGAGGATAGACTCCTGCTGAACCTTCCAATCTGTTTCTCAGATATATCCAAATTCAAATCATTTGGATCTTGAAGAAAGTGAATGAACTTCCTAGGGGTCTTGAAGATTTTAGTGCTGTCAACAGTAACCTGCGTGCTTGACCTCTGATTTACAAAAAAGACACAATACGCTAATTCCATGAGTAAACAAATAAGTAATCAAATACTAATTTTTTTCTTCTTATTTTTTATGCTTGTAAACTGTAAAAGATTCATCATAATATAAGAACAGAAATGACAGGATTAGCTTGATAGAAGATTCTTTTTTGAAAAAATCTGAATCTAAAGTTTCCTACAGTTGTAAGATGAAAGTTGATAAAACTCTCCCACTAACAATTATAGAGCAGTAGAGCACTTGCTCTTTAACTAATTGTGCATTAAGAATCTTAAGCTTAGTAAAAGCAAGACATAAATTAAATTCCTTGTGAGCACTAATTGTTCACAACAATTCATGATGAAATGAATGCAAAACATGCAAGCATTTCATGTTAACAAGGAGAAGAGGAAGGGGGCAGAATGACTTTGCAAATGGCTCAGACATACAGGATATTTTCAAAGGACTATGACAAATGTCTGAGAAACTTACTTGGGGACTTAAGATGGTACTTCTGGATATTCCATGCTTAGGATTTCTATCCATGAAATAAGCAAAATCCTTTGCAGAATCTCCCCTTCCATTAGGAAACTCTTGACTCACAGAGTGATCTAACAAAGAACTTTCTTTCCTTGTCTCAGAAGACAAGCCATCTTTGAGAGACACATCAACCCCTCCATTCTCATTATTCCAAAGCTTCCTATTCACACTCCTTCGCTCATAGTTCAAGTTTGTTGAGATGGGAGACTCAACAACGGATTCATATCCAGGGAAAAAGTCCACTGTACGTGATTCTGGTGAGACAGAGTTAGGAGAATGATCTCCATTACCAGAAATATTCTCTTCTTCCACATAGTGTCTATCTCTCCCACTAAAATTTGACCCTGTCACTGAAGAAGGACTTCTTACATATCTTGGCTTTTTGTCAATTGCAATTCTCTTGGCAGTTTGCAAAGCTTCAAATGCTGCACCTTTGACATATGCCATTTTATCAGATTGACACTTGTCCATCTCCTCAATTATCAATTCAAGCTCTGAGAATATGCTCCTGGAGTCCAAGCATTTCATCAAGAAGTTGACCATCTGAATGGCTGAAAGTCGCTTCTGAGAATTCCCCTCTAGAAGGCCATCATTTAGCATTCTTAGTCCAGATTGTATGAGCAACCTTGCATAGGCTTCAACAATCAAAGCATTGCGCTTGGCCAAAGCCATAACCAGACCCGTGTGTGGATTGGTTTGACTAGACTTTAGTTCTAATGCCACAGCAACATTCTGGCAGACCCTGTTGACCATTTCATCAGAAGCAAACCTCCAATTCTCTGAATCCACCAAAGCCTTTAAGCAAAGGGCCGCTCCAGAAGTTAGGCTCTCTTGAGAACTTGAGAGAGAATCTGATAGAGGCTTGCAAAGGGAATGAATTATCTGCCTCTTCTTGTCTTTTGGAGTTTTGGGGTCAATTCCATATCTTGCAATTGCTGGGACCACCTTTGAGCAAGCCTGATGAAGAGGGAAAGACCCTGCACTTGAAGCTAAGGTCTGAACTATGGATCCCATGATGCTGTCTATCATGGGAACAATTTTAACTCCATGAACCCGGGCAAGATCTTCACAGAGTGAAATTACGAAGTCCCCAGATAAAGAACCACTTTCCTTGGTCTCAGAAACTTTTGCAAGAAAAAGATGTATGGTCTTCAAATCCAAATCTTTCACGCATGACTTCAATTCTTCCATGGCAGATTTTCTACTATCTCCATCTTTGTCAAGATTTGTCAGCGCTTTCAGCAGCTCCGGGCTGAGATTCCTTCCCATTGTTACACTAACACCAAACAACTATAACCATCAGCATTGCCACAGAAATAAAAAACAAAAACAAAAACTTATTTAGGGTAGGTATTCTATTGCAGATTCATGCCCACCACAGTTTCATTGCTGCAGATGTTAAAGTTCACAACTTTTCTAAATAAAAAACCAAAAAAAGATTAATCACAGACAGAAATGGGTGAAAAAAAGCCACTGGCTTGAAACCCAATTGCCCCATTCCCCCTAATATCGAATCTTCAACCATTAAAACCAAAAACAGAATCTTTTGGGGCATTCACAAAAAGGGTTAATTCAGTTTCTATTCCCCTCTTCTTCTTGAAACTATAAAACATGTGCATTCAGTTACTCCAAAAAAAGAATGTGTATTGTAGTGATAGCATCAGTAAGGGATGATGAGAAATGAAAAACAGTAAAGAACAAGAAAATTCACCTAAATATAGAGAAGATGCTGAGGTTGTGGTGAATGGAAAAGGTGGCAATGCAAGAGAGTGTAAAGGTTTTAGAAGCACAAGAGAAAGAGAGAGAGAGCGCGATGACAAGAAAGAAATACGAAGTGGTGACCACAACACTGAATTCAACTCCTCGATATTCAAAATTACTTCTTTCAAATTCCGCCGCTATCCTTTCTCATTGTGGGACCCACATGGCTCAGAAATATATTTTCGAAAATGCCCTCACACTTTTTTTAATTTTTTTTTTTTTTTAGAATTGAGATTTTGGCCTGCCTAGCTTAAGTAAGTGGTAAAAATGTAAAATGTAATGATTGAATCATATTATAATTTTTTAAATTCAAAAAATCAGTTTTTTAAGAGCAAAAATATATATTTTATTTATTATATTTTACTTTTGTTTTTTAAGCATTTCCTGAAACAAAACGAGAGAGAAGAATATTAATGAAATGAGAAGGTAATTTAATAAAATATAATTATATATTTTTCAAAATTAAAAATATTTAATATCTTTTTAGTTGTTATACGAAATTCTTAAATAACTATTTTTTTTGTTGAAACGGATATATATAGTGATTTGAACTTATGATTTGTGATAGTTTTACCGTGATCCAATCATAATTAAACTCTTATTTTTTATTTTATACATAAACTTTTATTTTAATACATCATTAGGAAATACCACAAGTTTTTCATATCAAGTGACGAAATATGATACATAACAAAAAATACAATTTGGTTTAAATTAATTGAATGTGTTTTTTTTTTTTAAAATTATGGGAGTTACTTGATATTCAAGCAACTCTCTCGTGAGGGTGAAAAACAAAAAAAAAATTAATCTTAGTTATTCGTTTCGGAACCCATAACTCTTTATGATCCTAATGAGTTGTGCCAAGAATCTATCCATTAAAGCACGTTAGGGTTTAAGGATTACCTTTGATCACTTGAAGACATCAAAGCATATGATGTCCTCTAACGTCGATCCACATGGTTTCCTTTTGATCACTTGTGAGAACTCTTTTTTCTTGAATCTTCCTCTCTGGATGCTTGCTAAGCAATGACAGGGTGGAGGTTTCAAGTGTTTATGTTTATTTTTTCTCAAGACTATAGTGTCTTGATGTTAGGTGTGGGGCGCAACAATAGAAGAAGAGATGAAGAAGAATGGGGCAATCAAAAAATTTCTTCTTGATACAAGAGAGCTAGGCGAAATTCTTAGGGTTGGAAGAATACGCATGGAACGCGGCATTCTTGTTATATAATTAGAGTTGTAATCCTAATTTGGATAACACTAATTCAGCGCATATCCATAAAGATTTGATAAATCTTCTTAAAATATAACTTAATCATGAAAATATCATCTTATTGTGATTAGTAATTATTATCTTGGACATTGCCCACCAAACAAACAAAACAACGATGACGTAAATTGTAAACAAAAGTAGACAACAGCGGATTAAAGGGTCTATTTGATAGGGATATTGCAAATAAGAAAATTAATTCTTATTCTATTATAGAATTTCTGTCATTTTCAATTGTAGTGTAGTTATTAAAAACAAAAATTCTGTTCGCAACAATTAATAAATTATAGCTCAGAAGGATGCCAAATCGATCAACAATAAGACTGAAATTAGGAGCAGTGTGGTTTGGTTTGAAGTTTGAAGACTAAGAAATAAATAATATTGGTTGGAGGGTAATACAGGGAATTGGATCCCTTGTATGGTTGGGTCTTGGGTCCTTCATTTTGTCTTTTCCACACTTTTTTGCCGCGTAGTCCTACGATCTGCATCATATTTTTTTTGAAAAAGGTCTGTTTCCCCGCCTTTGAGATTTGTGTGTTGTTTCTAATTCTCCAACTGTGACTTGTGGGGAAGAGTCAGGACGGTTATGGAGTGTTTGGTTGAGGAGAAAATTTTTGAATACTAGGAAAATAGAATTGATAGAGAAATGATAAGAAAGTTAGATAAAGTGAGATAGATAGGAAAATGTTAAAAAAAATTGTTTGGTGGGAAAAAACTTTACTAGGTGTTTTGCTTCATTTTCCTAGCTATCTTTGAAAAATCACATACAAATTGGCTTTCCTAACAGTAGATTTTCCTAGCTATCTACCACAAAATGCTGAAATCTATGCAAATCACTTAGATGGGAAAATTGAAGGAAACCGTGAACCAAACATGGCTGTTTTGCTTTCCCACTTTCACTTGCATAGACATCCTCAAGAATACCCCCAACCAAACACCTCCTTAGGGAAATATTTTTTATGTTTCAAGGAACACCGAATGACTCTCACATCATCACTCTCATATCATCAATTTTTTCTTTCTCTTTTTATCCTTGTAAATTTTTTTCTTTCCTAATTTTATTCCTCTATTTACACTAAGGGACAACCAAAAAAATGGTGGTCCCGGTCCACTATAAATAATCTCGTTAGTTAGATACCATACCACTAATAAGCTTTTGAATTGTTATCAAAAAAAAAAAAAAAAAAAAAAATAAGCTTTTGAATTGACCAAGCAGATTTACTTTTCAAAACTTATTAATATAATTTTGAGGTAGGATATTTTTATTATCAATTTTTTATTATTACTCTGATTATCATTAGATTCAAAAATTATTTTTCTTTTCTTTCTTTTTATTTAATTTTTTCTCTAATTCAACGATGATTAAAGTGGTAATAGAAAAATTATTAGTAAAAATATTCTATCTTTATGATTTTAGGAATATTTATTGAGACGATATTTTGACTTCACTGTAGTTAAGAAGTTTTATTCTCCATTTCGATGTTAATTTTTGCATATCTAAATGATTATAATTTAGTTGAAATTAATAATTTATTAATTGATATAATTCAATAAATTATAACTATTAGATGGACGAAAATTAACAACTAAAATAAGAAATAAGATTTCTTAATTTTACACTGGAGTCCAAAATTGAGATTTCTTAATTTATTAGTTTGGAGTGGAGGTGATTTTAGTGAGGCGATAATTATTTTATTTTTTATGTTGTATAATTATTGGCAAGAAAGGATATTCTTTCTCACACTGCATGCAATATGAATGAAAAATTATATTAGGTGTTTATTAATATTTATTTAGATTGATATTAATTAAGATATTATTAGAATTAGTATTAATTATGTTCATAAATTTTTTGAATTAATGAGAATAATTTATTTTCTCATTTTATGATTCCTATTTAGTTTAAATAAAGATTATTAATTTATCTTTTGTATCACATATTATTACATCAATCTATAATATTTTTCTTTTTTGGATTACAGTGGTGAAGGATACCAGATCAGAATTATGGGTTACCAAAGAAGGAAAGAAAGAGAAGAACGTGAGAAGAGAGAGAATTGAGATAAGGAAGAGAGATATTTTGTCCAATCTTTTCATAATTTTCTATTCATACCCCCCACGAGCTTAATAACCATTTTTGTACTCTATTTTTGGTATTTTCTAATTACATTAATCTTGCTAACATTTCAGTAACACATTTACTGAAATGAACAATTCTTTACTGAAAATAATCACTCAAATAACCGGGCCTTCTAATGGCACGAGTGGGCCTATCCCCAACTGGCCCAGGAGATAAGGGTGCAACATTCCCTTCCCCTTCAGAACGAGCCTCGTCCATGAGGGTCAGGGGCCCACTTGGCAAGGAACCCAAAGTGGCATCTGGAAGGTTCTTGTCGGCAGTGTGTGTTGGAACCCAGCTGGCAGGCACTTCTTCGTGAGTGGGAAAAGAGGAAATAAGACTAGCTGTGTGTCTGTCCCCTATGTCTTGTCGTTCCTGTGTAAGGTGCTCAGAAGGTAAAGAGACGTCGTTTTCCAGAGCGCTGTCGAGATACAGGCGTTCCTCCTCCCAAGTCGCAGCTTACTGGCTCAATCTTCCAGAAGGGTCGTGTGTGCATCCAGTCTTTCACGTTTCCTTGTTGCGTCCTTTCATTTCGACTGGCCACCATCAGATCCACAACTTAACAACTGATCTGCCGTCACTCCCACCCTTGCACACACCCGCGGCAGTGGTGTCTCATCGGACGATTTGGCACAACGGCCGCGAAGTCCCACAGGTGTTGGTTCAGTGGCTCGGGCTGCCACTGTGCCAACACACTCGCTGACTTCAAAAGGTTCAAAAAAATGGAGACTGAGCTTGTGGGATGAACGGCGGTGAACGGTCAACTGTCGATAAGGCTGAAGACGTAATAGCACAAGGTCTCCGACCTTAAAGGTAAGTGCTTTTCGCTTCTGATCTGCATAGTGTTTCATCAAAACCTGGGCTTTTCTCAATTTTTGTTTCAATGTTGCAAGAATCGAAGAGCGCTGCTGAAGTTCTGATTCCACGGCCTCAACAGAAGTGGTGCCAAGAGAATATTCGAGCAAACAGGGAGGAACGCGACCTTAGGTAGCTTGAAAGGGTGAGAACCCAGAGGACCGGTTGTGGGCTGTTTTATAGTGATACTCCGCCGAGCTCAAATATCGATACCATGCCGAAGGATGTTCGTGAACAAAACAACGAAGGTACTGTTCTAGACTGCGATTTACCCTTTCTGTCTGGCCGTCTGTTTGGGGGTGGTAGGCTGAGCTGAACTTGAGTTGAGTACCTTGTAACCTGAATAGTGACTGCCAGAAATTACTGATAAAAATGGGGTCTCGGTCGGATACAATTGATTTTGGTGGACCATGCAATTTGCCTATATTGTCCCAGAACACTTGCGCAACCTTGCTCGCAGTATATCTAGGAGGTAAAGCCACAAAATGAGCCCCTTTTGTGAGTCTATCCACCACCATCATAATATCTGTAAACCCTCTAGAATTAGGTAAGTGAGTGATAAAATCCATTGATAATTGAGACCAAATGGTATCTGGAATGGGAAGGGGTTGAAGGAGACCATATGGGTAGTGATTTGGTGCTTTAGCTTTCTGGCAAACCTCACAGCCTCGAACATAATGCTGAACATCTCTTTTAATTCTTTGCCAAGTGAACGTAGCAGTTAATCAAAGAAGAGTGCGTCGCACCCCTGCATGACCACCCACCTTGGAAGAATGGAACTCATGAAGAAGAACTGGTATCACGGAAGAACCAGCAGGCACATACAAGCAGTGGCGGTGAAAAAGGAACCCATTTTTGTGCTGCTAGTGGGGCCATTTGGCTGGTGTATCTTGTAATTGTTGTAGGATGGTAGATGCATAAGTGTCTCTTTGTAATTCATACTTGAGAATTGAGCTGTATTGGGACTGAGGGCCACTTATGGCCATGAGATCAGGGGTTGGAGGTACTGAAAACCCCTCTGGCTGGCGCGCTTCTGCGGTTACATTAGATTTTCCAGTCTTGTACTGGATCACAAAATGAAACCCCAACAATTTTGCAAGAAATTGTTGTTGGTCAGGGGTTTGAATTACCTGAGTCATTAAGTGATGTAGACTCTTATAGTCTGTTTTGATGACAAAGGTAGTGCCAAGTAAGTATTGCCTCTATTTTGTCATTGCCGAAGTGATGGCATACATTTCACGGAGGTAGGTGGACTTAGCCTGCATCTGTTTGGACAGTTTGCGACTAAAAAAGGCAATCAGATGGTCTGATTGTAGTAACACTGCACCCACACCCACCCCAGAGGCATCTGTCTCTAAAACAAATGGAATGTTAAAATTAGGAAGAGCCAGAATGGGAGCGGGCGTTAATAACGACTTAAGGGTAGTAAAGGCTTGTTCTGCTGCGAAATTCCAGGTAAAGGCATCTTTAGAAAGTAAATCCGTGAGAGCAGCAGCAACATTAGCGTAACCCTTAATAAACCGGCGATAATAACCGGAGAGACCGAGAAAAGCTCGAAGTTGTGTAACAGAGCAAGGAATGGGCCAATTCTGCACCGCAGTCACCTTAGAGGGATCAAGGGCTACTCCCATGGCGGAGATAATGTGACCAAGGAACTGGGTAGAGGTCACTGCAAAAGAGCACTTTGTTAGTTTAGCAAAAAACTGATGTTGACGTAACGTGTGCAACACCTGTTCCAGATGGTCTTTGTGTGCCTGGAGCGAAGGACTATAAATAAGGATGTCATCAAAGAAAATGACAACAAACCGCCGTAAGAAACTGCTGAAGACATGGTTCATAGTCGCTTGAAACGTGGCCGGAGCATTGGACAACCCAAACGGAAGGACCAGAAACTCAAAGTGACCGTTGTGGGTGCGGAAAGCTGTTTTATGCACATCTTGAGGGTGCATCTTGATCTGATGGTAGCCAGATCACAAATCAAGTTTAGAAAAAATTTGAGCTCCATGCAACTCATCGAGTAGTTCGTCCACTGTGGGAATGGAAAATTTATCGGGTACGGTAATGGTGTTGAGGGCACGATAGTCGACACAAAACCTCCATGTGCCATCTTTCTTACGCACCAGAAGAACATGAGAGCTAAAAGGTGACTGACTGGGTTGAATGAAGCCAGTGTCTAACATTTCGGCCACCAACCGTTCAATTTCTGCCTTTTGAAAGTGAGGGTAACGGTAAGGACGAACTTGTATCGGTTTGGAGTTGGGAGAAAGATGAATGTGATGGTTAAAGGGTCGGTCAGGAGGTAGGGAAATAGGAATGCTGAATACATCAAAGAATTGATTTATAACCTGTTGAATTTGGGGCGGTGGTTGGGGCGGTGTATTGGGGTGGGAATCATAGGGAGTCGTGCTAGATAAACACATGAAATAGGAAGATATAGAATCTTGAACCACTAATTTATGCAATTGAGCATTAGTGAGTGGGGTAGGTAAATTGAACTCATCACCGTGCAACAGTACAGTAGTATCATTGTGACAAAAAGACATCGTCAAACGGCTATAATCCGTGATTATAGGGCCCAACGTTGCCATCCATTGAATTCCAATGACGACGCCAGCTCTTTTTAGATCCAATACAAACAAGTCAACCGCAAAAACATGAGACTGAAGCAGCAAATGGACCCCATGGCAAGCGGCCGTACAAGGGAGAGCCTCACCATTACCCACTTGGACCTGGAATGACGAAATTTGCTGTAACGTTAAACCAATGAAGGAGGCCATGCGTGCAGTAATAAAGTTGTGGGTGCTACCCCCATCAACCAAAACCTGAACCCCTTTTCCTTGAATCGACCCCTGGAGACGGAATGAACGCGAGCTGTGATGCCCAAAAAGAGCGTTGAAACTGATAGCAAGGGTAATCTCACTGGGTGGGGGTTCCTCTTCAAGAGGAATAAAATCTGACTCAGACTCATCCTCATCACCCGCAAAATACAGCAAGGTAGCACGGCCCTTGCATTTATGCCCAAAGGAATAAGGTTTATCACAGGGGTAACACATATTCTTTTCCCGTTTTAGTTGCATTTCGGCTGGAGATAAACGGCGAATGGCTAAAGCGAAAATGGGCTTAGTGGTGGATGGAACAATAGAGGTGGAGGATGGCACGACAGGAGGGGTAAGAGGTTTGGCAGAAGATTGCCAAGGTCTAGAAGAACGATACTCAGTACATTGATCTTCATACACACGTGCCAAAGCAAAAACCTCGTGATAGTCATGAGGTCTATGCGTTAAACCAGAACGGCGAATCTGGAGTTTTAATCCCGAAATAAAAATGCTTCGCAGTAAGGTAGCAGATAGCCCAGGAACCTTACTCACCAGTTTCTCAAAGTGAGCCTGATAGTCCAGCACAGATCCAGATTGGTGAAGTTTTACCAAAGCACCTGCAGGATCTTTGAATTCAGATGGTCCAAACCGACGGTGAAGGGAAACACAAAATGTTCTCCAATCCGTTAGTAACCCATTCTGGTCAGAACCGAGAAACCAACTTGCCGCAGGTTCGTCCAGGTGGAAAGCAGCTAAGTTTAAATGATCAGGTAAGGGTACCTGATAAAAAGAGAAATAACGTTCCACAGCAATGATCCAAGTCGAGGGGTCACCTGAGTGAAAACGGGGGAAATCCAATTTGACCTGACGAGAACCCATAGTGGGTGCAGATCCTAACAACCCACGCGCTGAGGTGGACGTTCCCGGAGTGTGCTGCTGCAATTCGAGCAACCGGGTGAGATCTTGCTGAAAATGGGGTTGGGAATCTTGCATCTGTTGTTGAGATTCAAGTAACTGGGAATGAGAATCTTGCAGATCCAAATGTTGTTGAGCACGGACTAGTTCAGCAGCGGTAAATTGCTGCTCCAAAACCTCCAAAAGCTAATGGAAATCACGCATTCTGGTGTTCTCCGCCATGAATAAACGGGAAGAAGAGGCCAAATGAAAGCACCAAGGATACCAGATCAGAATTATGGGTCACCAAAGAAGGAAAGAAAGAGAAGAACGTGAGAAGAGAGAGAATTGAGATAAGGAAGAGAGATATTTTGTCCAATCTTTTCATAATTTTCTATTCACGCCCCCCACGAGCTTAATAACCGTTTCTATACTCTATTTTTGGTATTTTCTAATTACATTAATCTTGCTAACATTTCAGTAACACATTTACTGAAATGAACAATTCTTTACTGAAAGTAATCACTCAAATAACCAGGCCTTCTAATGGTACGAGTGGCCCTATCCCCAACTGGCCCAGGAGATAAGGGTGCAACAAGTGGGAATTGAACACTACACACACCCAACACCCCTAGGCTAACTCTAGTGGTTATCTATAATTTTTTTTATTATTATTCATGTTCGCCCTCCTGTAATTTACATTCTAATTTAATATAATTTCAACAATAATCAATAACATTTAAAAATTAATAAATTTTATGTGTTTGTTATTTGGCACTATTTGGTTATAAGAAACGAATTCTTTTATATTGCATGATTTTATGAAAGAGGAAATCATCTATAAGTTAATCGATGACTTTTCCCCCCTCATTTTCTATCTCTTTCGTTTTCATTATTGTTGATTTGTCTGCGAGCTAATGTCACATTAGCATTAAAAATAAAATAAAAAAGCTGATAAAAACAAAGATCATGTGCGGGTCACATCTAATTATGTGAGGAAGTAGATATTTTCTAAATCGTCCAATCACACAAAATGGACAAAAAAGAGAGGTGGTGCCGCATGGTACAAACATGTGAGACTGTGAATGCGGATCATTCACCCCTTCACAACTTAACTCACATTTAGAAGTAAAAACAAACAAACCAGAAACTTTTTTGGCTCATTATCAGGTTAAATATGACACCAGATAACCTATGTAAAGACCATATGAATCCGATGGCTGAATTTCTTTGTAGGTACCATTGATTAACCCAAAAAATAAATACTTATTTCATTTCATTGCATTTATTTATCATAAAGGCATTAAGCGTATGCCATGTCATCACAAACTAACTATAAGTTTATATTAATATCTTCTCTGGTCTCCTCCCTCACCTAGGAAGATGCTTCCAAAACAAATATCTTGTACAACCATGCATATATGCCTATACTTTTGCATTTCACATATATCCAAAATTCAAATCTAAAACCATCTCTCCCAAGTTTTAGAGCACTCACTTGACCTCCGCGCCTAACACAAATGGCCAAGCATGCAAAATAGAAGACAAATAATTCGAACCCCACATGTATTTTCTGGGCAGGGTGGGGGAGGGAGGAAAGGGGTTATAAGGGGATTTGCAACAAACTTACCCCATAAATCATAAAACACAACCCCAAATTCTGCATTTACTAAAAGGTGAAAAAGATATTTAAACAACAATGACTATTTATGAATGCAGTTTAACTGGTGCAAAGATTCATCATTGACATTGTGGTAGTAATCTGCATGTCGGACAATACCACTTTCCCTTGAACCTTGTCTCTTGTGTTAGGCCAACACACGAATAATGGAACCATTCACCTCCTTGACACTATCAAGAAAAACATAATAAAGCAAAGAGTCAAAACAATTAAGAGGAGGAAACAAAAAAGTCAATCACCAGAAAGAACAATATCACATAAAAAAAACACAATAATATCTTCAAAGTCCCTCTAAGTGCTTAAGATCCAAATAGAAATTTTTTGACAAAAGAAATCCCAAAACAACATTAAGTTAAATGCCTCTTTACTCAATGTTAAGTTACATCATATTTTTATGTGATCCATGAACTATATCTTAAGCATTGTAAATAATCTATGGGAGAATTTTGTTATTGCATCTAGCCTTCTAAAAATTTATACAATTTGTAAAAGGATTAACACCATATTATAATTACACCTGATGCGGGAGATCAAGTACAATCTGCATTATGCCAACCCCAACTTCCCAAGGAAAAGAAAGAAAGAAAAAGAGGTGAACACAGACAGAGCAGAGAGAGCAAAATAAAATGTACTTACATTTTCATTGTCACAAGCAATCATATCTCCAAAAGATACCTGAATGATCAGATAGCTAAACTGACTCAGTTTCTTACTAGAACATTTTAGTAAAAACAAAAGACAATATGGCATAATTACACACAAGGAGACTTAGAAATATAAGATATTATGAATAACAATTCAGAACCTGATGACAAACGCAGTATGTAGGTTCATTTGGATCAATGGGTTGATCAACATCCATAGGGGTTACATACTCCTTTTTATGGCTTCCTGGTGGAGGCATTAGCTCAAAGTCCCTATCACGCTCCCGATCCCAGTCTCTATCCCTGTAATCAGGTCTCTTCGATTGAGGTGTTCCATATACGGGCCTGCGCTTTTCGGTTTTAGGAACTATAGGCAATGGGGGAAGAATTGCTGGTTCATCTTGTGGTATTTTTCCCTCTGGCAAAATTAAATATAACAAAATAATGAGATAAGAAAGATCATAACTTGATAAGGTACCACAAAAACAATTTTAATAACATTATAAAAAGGGAATTTCATTTTTTTTATAAAAAAATCCCCCTAATTCCAAAACAACTTTCCCTCTTGTTTTCGCTCTTTCTTTCTAATGCATTGCCTGCTACTTTATGCAGGTTCAAAAACACCAAATTATGCTCTTCCCCATATACTACTCTTTTACCTCAAAAATACAAATATACTTGTGATTGACATCAAAAATATTTATATATACTTTTGGGAAAAAATTAGATAAACTTGTTGCTTTTAGGAACAGAGACATTGTTGCATTGATAATGGGGAAAAGACATAACTGCTTCCCTAATAAAGAAACTCATTGCAATATATACTTATTAGGGAAAAGACATACCTGCTTCCCTAATAAGACTTGCAGGTTATACTAATTTTATAGGTAGATTTTGAAAATAAAATTTGTGCATACATGATACAAAATAAATCAGATGGAAAATTACGTGGTTATTTTACCTTGCTTTAAATCTTCGGCAAAGTTGTTTAAATCCTCATCAAGTCGTTTTACATGGCTATCTATCTGAAGCAAATACAAGAAGATTGAAACTTGTAAACTTAAGCTGTATGATGTCCCTTGTATGCATAAGAGGAAGCAAAACGGAAAAAATTCACATGACTTCATAGATAAGAGTTCTTATCATTGAGCAAAGTGCATCTCAGAATAAACACAGATCAACTTTTTCTACAGTATGCATGCACATATGATCAGCACTTATGACCACAGTCCTGACAGTGTTCAGTCATATAATGTGAATTGACACAACACATAAACAACAGGAATGAGGACATTCCTAGAGAAATTTTTTAAGAGATTATTATGCGATAGCATCTAATCTAAACAAATAAAATTTACATACACGCACATAATATCTGAAACAAAAAGAATTTCTGATTACTTGATTATAAACGATCCAATCCTGTCATTAATTCCTTACAACTCATAAATCATGGAAACGTTTTTTTATTTATGAAGATCCAAAGGAAAAGAGAAAACCCCCAGACTGCGCGTGGCTAACATGTTCATGAAAAACATAGTAACAGTAAGTGGCTGTACACATTAAAAGCTAGACTAAAAGTTCAGTGCTTATTTCAAAAACAATTTAATCACATTATCATTAAAGCATTCCCCTATTCCGTAGATATCATTCAATAGGAACTATTTTGTTCAGAAACCTAAAGCCCTAAGCTCCTTGCTGCAACTATTATGACAAGCTTCATCACCATTGATCATCCTACTTCAAGTTTCTCCCATTAGCAATAGTTCTTTTCTTCAATTTTGGTGAAAAAAATTCACATATATTGGTCTGATTTATGGTATATATATTTAAAAGAATAAAAGCACACCAGGTCATATGCTTGCCGTGCCAACAAAACCTTCTCAGTACATAGACTCAATGCATTATCCTGATTTGCCTCGATTTCTTTTAGCATTTTCTCAATGGCAGCATCATCATCCTCATTGGCGTAATTGTGATTATAGCTATGATTACCCTTCTTAGAGCCATGTGATGAGAACCCCATACAGTACTTTGTCTGCTGCCTGGTCTGGTTTATCATAGCTTCCATCACACCAAAAAACCACAACAACAAAAAAATGAATAATTTAAAAAAAAAAAAATTCTAATAAGAAAGATACAACGATGAAAACATAAGAAATTACGTATCAACAAAAAGGAAAAAGAAAAATAAAAAATTTTGAGAAAGCATTTACATTGGGATCGTTCATCGAGTTCTCGGACGGTGTTAAGCAGCCTCTGAAGCTCAGCGGGCAATGTGCTGGCGTCTATGGGAGTGGGAAAATTCAGCAACGAAATCGAAAAGAAATTCATAGAAAAAGGGGGGGAAAACGAAAGAAAAGAAAAAGAAAAAGAAAAGGCGCTTACACTCCAAATAGTCGTCGACGTAGACTCCGGTGCGTGCAATTGCCATTTTTGGGGAATGATTTTCGCTATTGCAGAAGGGTTAGGGTTTGCGATTGCGAGCCCTAGAAGAAAGCTTCGGAAACGAGGGAGAATGAAAGAGTTGAAACGCTGTCGTATTCGAGTGGTGTGTTTTTTCCAAGGCAAAAAGTTTTAACGAAACGAGCGGTAAGGCAAAATGACCGTTGGTAAGGCGGGGATTTCTGTTCTTGTGGACCCCAACTATATTTTCTTTCTTTTTTTTTCTTTCTATTTTTTTCTTTCTATTTTTGAATATGTTAACGATATTTTTTTTTTTAAAAAAGTTTGTTTTTAATCATCTTAATCTTAATCATCATAGTAATACAAATCTAAACAATATGATTTTATTTCTTTTGGAATTATAATTTAGTAGTTGGTAATGTGTTATGATCCAATTGCAAAGTATAAGACTTGACTCCCAAATCAGAAACATAAGATTCTGTTATGGGATTTATATGAATTTTGTGCTCTTATACCTTACGAGCTAGCTTTTAGGGTGAGAAGAGTGTAAATGAGATGAGTCGAGCCAAGGTTTGGCTTAAATATGTTAGATCTGTGTAAAATACTTTAAATTCGACCTAGTCTGTTAGGTTTGTGTAAGTCCAAATTATAAGTCTATGACCTATATTTAAAAAATAAAAGATTTGGTCTAGGCCTATTAGTCTGCCTAAGCCTATTAGGCATTTAATAATTAAAGTATTATTATTTTATTGGAGAAAATATTTATCATTTTAAATAACACAACTTTGTGTATTTTATATGAAACGACGTCATTTTGGTATATATTTAGTGATTTTTTATATTCTCTCTCATCTATAAAATTAGGAAGAGAGGGAATGACACAAAATTGAACCATTTAAAATGATAAATGTTTTCCCCTACTTTATTATTCAAAATCATTAAAATAATAATTTTTATCTATTTTATTTAAAATAAATAATAAGATATAGGCCGACGTGTATGCTTATAGGACTTGCTTTTTAAAAAGGCTTTTTTAAAAGCTTGAGTATGTTCTATTTTACATTATATAATAAGTCAAGTCTAACTTGATATAGGCAAGGTCATAGGCCCTTAATTGGCTGTTTGCCCCATTTACAACCTTAGGGGTGAGGTTTTCCAAAGGTTCGTATCTAGTGATGCTGGCATCACAATGTTCGAGCCCCACATCGAAAACATAAGATTCTCATTTCTTCTATACTTGTAATGGTATGCATTATGTCCTTTTCTTCCATAATAATTACAATTTATAAATGGACTTCTAGACATATATTAACGATGATGTGCATGTGAGGATTTTTCACGAGAATGATGCACTTTAGGTTTTATATAACCTAAACTATAAGTAACATGTGTAGGCCTTTGTCTACCAAGTGTAGCTTCTAAGTTCTTCATAGCATATGTAAATTTTTCTAAGTCATCATTCAATCTCTTAATTTTTTCTTTAAACTTTTCACATCTAGATAAGCATACAAGACAAGTAACCAGTGTTGTAAAAACCGGACCGGACCGGCCGGTTCAACCCAAAAACCAGTAAATCGGTGGTGTGACCGGTCCGGGTAGCATATTGGATCGGACTTGCAGGTGAACCGGTGTGAAGCGGTTTGACTCGGTGCGAACCGGCCGAGTTTTGCTAAAATCAGTGATGTAGCAGCCCGTTACGTACCGGTAATATTATCATTGCATATGGTATTAAGCGCAGTTACAATCACAGTAATTGAGTTAATTGAATTACGGGTAAACTTTTTTCCTTTATTACATTCAATTCTTTAAACAATTAACCATTTCCGTAACTAATTAAAACAACGTCGTAATTGTAAATGCAAAACTCGCGGAAGCATAAAACATACTAATCATTATCTCTCTTAGCAATACCATTGATTTTAGACTTCATAAAACATATTTTCAAAATTTTACACAGTGGTAATCGATTACCCAACAAAGGTAATCGATTACCAAAGGCTCCAGAATGAGACAGTAGCCAAATTTGGGCTCCCCTGTTTTGGGTAATCGATTACCTAGAGATAGGTATTCGATTACTGAACTAGGTAATCGATTACCTATGCTCAGGTAATCGATTACTTTGTTCACAATGGCTCAGTTTTGCGTCCCCTGTTTCATGTAATCGATTACTAAGGAAAGGTAATCGATTACCCTACTGCAGAATCACCTTTTGACAGCTTTTTAAACATAAAATGGGTGATGTAATCCACTCCTAACACCTTAATAATCATTATACCTCTTACACAACATCTAATGTGGGCTCTAGGCCCTTCCATCACGCATAATCTAATACCAATGTATCTTTTACAACATTCACCATTTGTCTTGCCATTTACACATCATATGGCTCATTTACATCATATGTGGCCATTGACAAGTCCCATGCTCACCAAAATACCAATATAACAGTAGGCATAAGGGTGTTCATCAACTGATCCAAACCGATTCAAACCGCGGTGACCGAACCGAAAAACCGATAACCGAATAAATCGAAAATCGAAAAAAAACCGCAAATTTTAATTGGATTGGATCAGTTTTCGGATTGCTTGATAAAAACCTATCCAATCCAAACCGATCCAATATACTAATTCTCATCTACCTGCTTGGGCATTTCTCTAATCATAGCCCAACAAATTCTAAATCCAAGACTCATTAACCCATAAACTAAACCCAAGAAAAAATCTAGCCACATCCCATCAACAAAATTTTATCTGTATAGAGCTTCATATCTCATTGCACAAAAAAAAATATATTATTGTTTATAGATGCTTTTGTATTTAAAAAAAAAATACTTTACGAAGTTAATATATATAAAAGATATGTTATTTGCACAATAATTATGAAATAAATTTTAGACTTTTCAAAAAACCGAAAACCAATCCAATCCAAACTAAAAAAATTGGATTGGATCGGATCGGATTTGAAAAAAAATTCAAACCGAATGGATGATTACATGATCAAACCGAAGAGATTGGATCGGATGATTTTTGCTTCCAAAACCGATCCAATCCAGACCGCGAACACCCCTAAGTAGGAATATATATGTACATCAACTACCAAGACTGAGCATACAGTTATGAACACCGAAAAACAGAGCAATATCAACATGCAATATGTTCATAACCTAAGTCCAAAATACTAAATACAATGCTATGTGCATCAATTATAGTCCTCCAAAATGTCATGCTCTCCATATGCACATCATGCTCAGCTCATCCTCTAAGCGGGCCTCTTGCCCGAAGATCCTCCATGCTCACTATAACTTGAAATGATGTCCCTAAACGCGGAGTGAGATATACAAATATATCTCAGTAAACCAAGGGTACTAGAGGATCACTCCACCCCATGGCTCACTCAATGTGCAATAATAACATAATGTAAAATGCATAACATACAAAATCACAACAACTGGGCACAAATCCAAGAACATCCACATCAGGATTCCGTTCAAGGACCCCATCATATGACTCCCGGGAAGCTTCTTGGAGCCTCTCCCACGGATGAGACGACCTCATGGCAAAACCCAATTGGAACTCCTCATGAGCCCTATCCAGCGGAAGTCCCACGTTTGGATCATCCTGGTACCGCTCCCAGAGTCGGCCCCACGACAAAACCCGACCGGAATCCCCAAAGGATATCTCCAGCGGAAGTCCAAACCAACACACATCTACTGGCCATAGATCACAAAATTTCACACACAACATGCTCCAAGCATGTCACACAATCAAGCAATGATGCATGAACATACATATTCACACCATGCCAAAAGCACAAAATCCAACCACAACCTTCCACTAGGTGTGGTGGAGCACATAAGGGATTAAAACCCAAATTCCAAAGGTTTACCTCAACACCGCAATTATTGCTCTTCCACGTAAGCTCCAAGCTTATTCCACTTCTATTGGTTCCATGAGAGGCAACCTATATGATCAAACAACAATGATCAATAACACTTGCATAATATTCATCAACTTTACAATAATAATTACCATCAAAGTCACTTAGGCCTAAGGCTATTTTTTCATTTATCTTAACTATTTCAATCATTTTAATCCTTGAACTAACTCATCATCATAACCATGTATGCACCAAGGCACCAACCATTGATTTTACAATATTTCTCTCACCATTTTCCTCTAATTTCCTTTATAGGTCAAATTTCCACATAAACACATATATCCAATGCTCTTCCATCCAAATCCACACATCACACCAACCTACCATCCATTTAAACACCAATCACAATCATACAACACCATTTATACCACTTTTATATCATCAAACCATTTATGACCTCAATAGGTCGAATTCTTCATGCTAGGGTCCCAAAGGATTTTCAATCCATTCCAACACTTCTACACATCATACAATCTTATAATTCACTCATACAATTACTCCACAACTCAATTACACAATCCTACCATCATGCCATCTCACAAAGTATTGAAATTCCAACACTTTCCAACCATAAATTTCACTAAGTTATAAATTTACAATTCACAATAATTTTTATTGCACCAATCATCATCATTCATCATTCTAAGCATTTAATTCCAAAGGAGACATACCATTTAATGCTCCTAACTACCACAACTCAACACACATCATCAAAACCCTTACTAATTTTATGATCTCATAGAAAACTCAACGAGAGTGAGAAATTTTACCACCAATAGCTTTCTAGGGTCCAAAGGGATGATCACCAACCAATAGTTCAACACAAAAAGTCCTAAAAATTCTCCAAAAACTTTCAAAATTCGTGGCTAAAATAAGGGTGTAACTCTTTCCACAATGCTTCCCACAAAATGCACTCTACATGAAAGTCACTCACAATCTCAAGGGGAACAACTTTGTAGTTGGGAGTTTCTCTCAAAAATGGCTCTAACTCAAGGTTGCAATTCAAAAAGCTCTCTTGGCCTATTTCCATTGAAGCTCCTCGATGAAGAAGAGAAGGAAGAGAGAGAGTGTTCATCTTTTGTGTGTTTTGTGTCACTTAAACCACTTAAGTCACTTAAAGTGTGTTCCACACGTCATTTAGCTTTCTTAAATCATCTAATTTAACCCACAAATTCATAACCTACGTATTTTTTTTCGTTCACATCATA